AATAATAGTAGGGAACATGAACACTTCACTTACATCAATGAACAGAACATCAGACAGAAATTCAATAAGGCAACAGCATGTGTCAAATGACACAATAGAGCAGTTGAACTTAATACATATCTATGACATTATATTCAAAAACAACAGAATACACATTCTCTTCAAGTGCACGTGGAACATTCTCCAGAATAGACTGCATACTAGGCCACAAAACAAGTCCCAACAAATTTAAAAGACTAGAAATTATATCAAGCATTTTTTTTCTGGTCACAATGGTATAAAACTAGAAATTATAAAAATGGGGAAGGAACATACACGTGGAAACTAAACAACATGCTACTAAAAATACCAATAGGTTGATGAAGAAATGAAAGAGGAAATCAGAAAATACCTCCGTACAAGTGAAAATGGAACCACAATGCACCAAAGTCCACGGGATGCAGCGACAGTAGTTCTAAGAGGGATGTTTACAGTGATACAGGCCTTCCTCAAGAACAAGAAAAATCTTAAACAATTTCACCTGTGACCTAAAGGTATTTTAAAAAAGAACAAAAAGCCCAGAATCAGCAGAAGGAAGGAAATAATAAGAATCAGAGAGGAAACAAAATAGAGACAAAAAACTAGAAAAGATCAATGAAACCAAGAACTGGTTTTTTAAAGATAAACAAAATTGATAAATTTTTCTTTTTTTTAAAATTTAATTGTGAATGAGGTTATTGTGTGGTTCCATCATCTTCTACCATGACATGTTGCTGTGAAAAACTCTGAACCCAATCTAATTTTTCCTCCTTAGAAAATAAATTCTGTTTCTGGCTTTGGTTTTGTTTGATTTTGCTTTTTGTTTGGATGGTAAAAGGGTCTTTCTTTTCCTTTCAGGTTATGATTTTTATGTCAACTTTTCCCAAGGTGGTTGATGTTTTGGGTTTTGTTTGGTTCAGTTTGGTTTGGTCTGATTTTGGTTTGTGTGTAGATTGAAATATTTTATTTCTGGAAAATGTTTTGCTATTCTGTTTCTCCAAATATATTTTCTATCCTATTTTTTTCAATACTTTTCATCAAGTGCTGTGTGGTCTCTTCATGCAAGTGAATAGGTATAGTGTCTCTTCCATCTTCATAGCCATCAGGCTCCTTTTCTAATCCTTCTTATCTATTAATTTCCATTTTGTTTTGCTCACTTTACCAGTCATGTTCTTAAGCTGACGTTTGCATTTTGAGCAGCATTGGTTTACCTTTTTGTTACGTCTGGTGGCTCCCTGATATTTGAGATGACTTTATGTTTCACTTCCACCCCTTTCCTGAACTCTGCTAGCTCATTTTTTGTCTCCTAGTTGTCTTGATGTTTCTTCCTTGAGCTCTTAGTTTATACAGGGTATTTTATATCTTTTTCATTAAGTTTTTTTTAAATTTTGTTGTTTGTTTGCTTATGTTCATTTGGCACAGTTTCCTTTAGCTCCATGGCAACACAATTTTGTATGTGTTGTTTTTTTTCTCTGATCATTACCTACTTTTCTTGCAATGTTTTTGTGGATTTCTTCTGATGAGTTCTTTCTTATTCTGACTCACATTTGACTGAGATGAGCTCTTTCTTAACCAGCTGTCTTACAGAAAGTTTATAGGGTAGGGACTAGGCTATGATACCATCCAGCAGAGAGTCTCTCCCACTTACAGGGATGCGCCTTAGGATACACA